AAGGAGAGGGTGCGGAATGCTTGGAGGAAGGAGGAAGGGCGGGAGAGTGCGAACGGGTTGGTCAAGCGGAGAGACATTGTGGCGACTATCTTTTGCTAGAGCCCAAGCATGGTAGGAGGAGAATTAACTGGAGACTTGGTTCCTCTCATATGAACCGTATAAGGGTTAAGAAGTAAAAGGTCGTTAGTAGATGTTATTACTGTGCGCAAACCCGATTGATTAAAGCTTTGAATAAGTGCTTGAGACTTTATTACACTAGGCTTAGTTTAGACTAGCACCACTCTTCCTACGGAACTGGCTGTAGAGCCGCAAGCACACTATGAGGAAGCTTCAAAAACCACCATCCTTCTATACAACACATACCCTTTTGATTGTCCATCTCCAGAATTAGTCCTTCTCCATTTTTGATTGGTTTTAACTGTTAGCTCATCTGCGCTACGCAGAGACCTCTCCCGCTATGGTTCAGATCAGTGAGGTCAAAGGAAATTCGCGAGAGAATAGAACTGCGGCACACACCCATATCAAGGGCTTGGGATTACGGCCTGATGGCACGGCTGAACCCACAAGCGCTGGCTTTGTTGGACAGGCAGCAGCGAGAGAGGTTTGTTCAGATCCCTCCCTTTGTCATTTGTATCTCTATTCCCTGTTCTGCAAGGACTAACTCTGGGTATTTCCTCTCAGGCCTGCGGTGTGGTGGTCGATATGATAAAAGCGAAAAAAATGGCGGGCCGAGCAGTCCTACTTGCGGGTGGACCGGGAACGGGGAAGACGGCTTTGGCGCTGGCTGTGTCGCAAGAATTGGGCACCAAAGTACCTTTTTGTCCCATCGTGGGTAGTGAGGTTTTCTCGGCGGAGGTCAAGAAAACGGAGGCGCTCATGGAAAACTTTCGAAGGGCAATTGGTAATAGATTTCATCTAGTGCCATTATATAGATTTATTTTTCGCTTTTTGGTGTTAATTTCGCTCTTTAGGACTACGAGTGCGCGAGACGAAGGAAGTATACGAAGGTGAAGTGACGGAGCTCACTCCGGAGGAAGCAGAGAACCCATTGGGAGGCTACGGAAGGACCATAAGCCATCTAATCATCGGGCTCAAATCCTACAGAGGGACGAAAAAGCTGCGACTGGACCCTAGCATCTACGAAGCGATTCAGAAGGAAAGAGTAACTGTCGGCGACGTAATATATATCGAAGCCAACACTGGTGCGTGCAAGCGCGTCGGACGATCTGACGCGTATGCCACTGAGTTTGATTTGGAAGCGGAAGAATACGTACCTGTCCCCAAGGGCGACGTTCACAAGAAGAAGGAAATCGTACAAGACGTCACGCTACATGACTTGGATATTGCGAACGCCAGACCACAAGGAGGACAGGATGTCATGAGCATGATGGGCCAGCTTATGAAACCCAAGAAGACCGAAATCACAGACAAACTGCGTCAGGAGATCAACAAGGTTGTAAACCGATACATTGACCAAGGCGTAGCCGAGTTGGTTCCTGGCGTTTTGTTCATTGATGAAGTACGTTTTTCACCTGCGAAATACCCAATAAGGAAACAAGATACCGTAGACTAATTCCCCAACCCAGGTCCACATGCTCGATATAGAATGCTTCACCTACCTAAACCGCGCCCTTGAGTCTTCAATATCCCCCATCGTAATACTCGCTTCAAACCGTGGCAACACCGTCGTACGGGGCACAGGAGACATAGTAGCCGCTCATGGCATTCCCCCCGACCTCCTAGCACGCCTTCTAATAATCCCTACTCACGCTTATAACCCCGAAGAGATAAAAACTATCGTGCGGCTGCGTGCGAAGATAGAGGGCTTAACCATTAGCGAGCCGGCGCTGGAGAAAGTCGCGGAGCATGGAAGTAAAGTGAGTTTGCGCTATGCGTTGCAGCTACTGACGCCGGCGAGCATCCTAGCACGGGTAAATGGGCGAGCTGGCGGGATTGAAGAGGCGGATATTGCGGAGTGTGAGGATTTGTTTATCGATGCGAAGAGGAGCGCTGGGGTTGTGTCGAGTGGGGATGGGAATGGGTTTATTTCTTGAATTTTTTTTCTTTTTAATTTATCTTTTTATCTTAATGTGATGTCATGCCATGTCTTTTCTTTCCCCCAACGTTGTAACAACAGGTTCGATTTATCCTAATTTGCTCGTTGTGCGGTCCGCTCTGGCTTTATGTTCGGCTCTCCTTTTGACATCTGTTATTTTATGATTAGGCGATGGCGGTGGAAATGGGACTCTGGTTCGTTAAAATAAAATAAAATAAATTTTTACACGTGAGGGATCAAAGCGTATCGAGAGAATATTACCCCTAAAAATCATTTCTGCACTCTGCCTTGATTGAGATATACGGCGGTATATCTTCACAACACACCCCCACGCCTTATTATTCCCTTCCTCTCTTGTCCTTCATCCTCCCCATCCTCCTCTCCCATGTCCTGTGGAAGTAGAGCACAACCCGTCTCACAATCCCCAGAAAGCAGTAGATCACCAACACAATCCTTACAAGCAACCTAGCCAGTCTCTCTCTTTTGGTCAAGATTTCAACTTGCAATCGTTTCACGGCATCTGATGAAGAAACAAGTGCATTGCTGCCCATGACCCTGAACGGCAATTCGGCTCCTAAATGATCCACTGCTACCTGAAACGCACTCTGAACCGAATCCTCGTACAGCCCGTATCCGGTCCACGGGCCGCAGTAACTAATCCCGCGCGTGTTTTGGATCTGTTGGAGAATTTCGTGTGATTTCAGTGCACGATTGTTGAACATGAAGCGTGGGTATTCCCATATTCCCTGCACCCGGAGTGGGTGGGGAGGAGATACTGGATTGTGGGTTATAATGACGGGACCGAATGTTTCTTCTGAGAGGCCTTGTAGGCTATTCATAGAATAGGAGGTGCAGAATTGGCTAGTGTCCAGATAATTGGGTTGCGAGGATTTCGTTATGTGGTTAAAAGTCGCCCAGACGCGTTTTCGCTTCGGCATCAGCTATCGATGGCGAATATTGTTGTTAAATTAATGTATAGAAAATAAAGTCTTTCAAAGAAAATGGTTGATTGCCACAAATTCCAAGTCCGAGCATGAGTTGGGAAAGGGTAAATTTAGAACTCACCGTCGTATCGGAATGCAGGATAGCGACAGTCCTAGCTGTTTTAAACCCGTCCAGTGCCCTTACCTCCACATCAGTCGCCCCGGCTGATATCAAGTTTAAAGCGTCATACGCCGACGTCGCGATGATGACGTGATTAAAATATTCTATATGGCCTTCATCCCATTGCACTGCTAACCATCCAGGCCTGTCACTGTTTTTAATTGAATTGATGGTCGTATTGCAATGAATTCTTCCAGCGGGTGCGATATTTGCAATTGCGGCCTCGAATTCATTAATACCACCCGTTAGACACATCCATTTTGACCAAAACAAAGAGCTCCGGAGGAGATCGCAGTCCGCCATGAAGCGTAGAAGAAGAACTATGGGAAGTTCCAATGCATCCTTTGCGTTGTTGACGTTCCACAAAACGGAAATAAGTGGAATTATGTAGTGGTCGCGGAAAGAATTCGAATAGCCCTCGTTGGCCAGGTATGCGCCGATGCTCTGCTCAGACTGTTCATGATTTTGGGGCTGCTTGGAGTTCTTCCGCCTTCTAGATCGTTGTCTTTTGGTGATTTGCCCACTCCTCAATAGATCGAGAGCAAAATGATTGAATCTCGCAACATCAATCAACATCCTCCACATATCTATCCGGAATAGGTTGCGGGAGAGAATAGCGGATAGCGACGTGGTTCTCCATTCAAATGAATCCCGGATCTGAAACGAGGACACTGAGAATTTGGTGTCGCGGCAAGGTATCTGAAGCTCCTGCAGAAATGCGTGTAGATTTGCTGCTTCCCCGAGTAAGCTCCTGAGACAAAGCTCAAGGTACGGAAGCAAACTGACGTGAAGTGGAAGGCTTGAAATATACAAGTCCTGTATCAACCCCAATTTGCTTTCCTCTTTTCTCATACTGAAATAAATGTGTACGACCTCCCAATCTGCTCGCGGCCTCGAAAAGATGGACTTCGTGCCCAGTGTCTTTCAGGGCCCAGAATGCAGCTAGGCCGGAAGAACCTCCGCCAACAATGGCAACTCTTTTGGGAGCCATTGTGAGATCTGGGTGGATACTGCGAGTGAACGAAGGGTACACCCAAAAATACGATTAGCAGAGCCCCTAGAAATAAAACATGGCTAACTAGATGCCGATAGATAAGATTCCGCCGAATGAAATCAAAGCCTGATGTTCTCCGCGCAAACAGAATCTATATCAAACGGATGGCCTCAGAGGTACTCGCGTAGTGGTATCGCCAGACCTAAATGGAGATAGCTTTGCACGAATAGGAAGAAATGTTGATATATTATTATTGACGACAGTAGAATGCCAGACTAGTCAGGAGGACGGATGAACGGGAGCATCCCTGATTTCTCACTCTAGTTTTTTCGAGTATATGACGTTAGCGTTTCTTCCAATATCAGGGGAGTGAACAGCCGTTCCCACTGGGGTCAGTTTGTGTATACTTGCAGGTCACAGTTGAACGTGCATTCCTCAGCCGTAGATATGGATCCTCAAATGGATCAGATCACGTGGAGATAAACCAAATGAGTACTTTTAAATACAAAAAATAATATGTGTGATTAGTTGTAAACAGAAGTATCTTTATGTACCTATTTAACCTCTTCATTGCCCTTCTTGGCATGGCTGGGACTGCCACTGCCCAGGTGGTTTCCCGTCGTGGCATCATCACAACTCCCAAGTCGCATACCATCAATAAGACCAGAAACCAGCCAAAACTCTATTTGTTTTGGTGATTGCGAAGGATATCGATCCCAATAAGTTGCATAACCTGGATCTTCTCATAAAGCCCCCACATCGAACGAACAAACAAAGCCCGCTTTATCCGCCTCTTGACCACGCTTCCGACACGATATTCCGTTTTGCATCTAAGATATATCAGAAATGGCGAGCCCTCTCGATGCAGGTGCCGGCTCAGAGCTGTTCAGCAGCTATGAAGCTGAGCTTAAGTTAGTCCAGGCAGACCTGAACCAGAAACTCGACCAAATCGCAGAATACCAGGGAGAGGAAAGGAAGTCAGCCATAAAACAAGCAGAGAAGTCATTAGAGGAGGCCACCGAACTAGTAAGTGTATTTCCTACCTACCTATTCAGTCTCTCTCCTGTGGCTTCTTGACCTGTCGTTGGTCGCTATCTGGCTATTTGGCGCATAGGACGAACAAGCTGACTTACACATGTCCCGCTCAAAAACACATAGATAGATCAAATGCGGATAGAGAAAGAGAACATCCCCTCCGCAGCCCGTTCGAAAGTGAATGCCCGTTTCCGCAATTTCGTAACAGACATCGACGACGTCAAGCGTCAGCTTAAAGCCCTCTCCGATGACCGCAGAGCGCTCTTTGGCGACCGATACACAGATGAGCCCAACGGCGTAAACGACCACCATCTGGAGCAGAGACAGCAGCTGCTATCCGGAACTGAACGTCTAGAGCGGAGTTCCGCCCGTCTAAGGGATAGCCAGAGAGTAGCGCAGGAGACCGAGGATATTGGACGGCACACATTAGCTGATCTATACATCCAACGCCAGACCATCGAGCACACCCGAGCTGGCTTACTGGAAAGTGAAGGCTACGTGGATCGCAGCGTAAAGACGCTGAGGGGGATGGCTCGTAGGTATTGTATCCTAAATTTTAAACACCATTAAATAGCTGTCGGGCGTGACGTAACTGATTCATGTGAATAGGATGGCTACGAATCGGATGATTACTCTCGCCATCATAACCGTATTGGTCCTTCTTATCGTTGCTGTTATATACAGCAAGTTTCACTGAGCGTTCTCTTTTTGGGTATATTATTGCGTCTTAATTTAGTTTTGGTGTTTTAGGCGAACCGTCTCCTTTTTATTTATATTGTCCGCCCACCTTTCGTTTTTTCTATTGGTGGTTGTTTGTGATATTGATTTTGTACCATACGACTATTCTTTATTGCTACTACAA